ACCTTGTTGGGCCTTGTGCCTACGTTTCCTCACTTACTGTAGGCTTTACCTGTACTGTGATCACTGTATTGCTTGTGCTTTTATAACTCTGCGTGTGAACTGGCCTTGTGGCCTCTTGCTTGTGCTCAGAGTGTGTGGTGACTTTGTGATCCACCCTGAGCTGTGCTTTGTTTCTTCTCTTGACTGGTCTTGTGACCATTGTCCTTGCTCTGGCTATCCCCTATTTCGCCTATGGGGGTGTGTCAAACCATATGCTTATTGTTTAGTTAGGCTGTATTGGGGCTAGCTTTAGGGGGTACACAATTTCCCTCGACATTGTAGTCTTGTACCCACCTTGACCTAATACAATCACTCTTGCCTAGGTATTTTAACATAGGGTCGCCTCTCAAATTCATTTGCCATCTGAAAGGGGTATATATTTGTTTTCCCCGGCTGCACGATAGAATGAAGTACAAACAGTTTGCGGAAAAGAGCGCCAGAATATCATTTATGTAAGAAACGTTGTTTTCACAACAGTTACGTTTTTGCAATTAGCTTAAAAATCGGAAAGTGGGTCAGAATTTCGGAAAGTGTGTCAGAATTTCAGAATTTGTGAGAGTGTGTCAGAGGTTTCTGCTTCAGGATTTGTTATCAGAGGTCCACTGGTGATACCCGATTGATCCTAAGGGAAGGGTTACAGGCATGTTGGCCTGGGGGGTTATGGGCGCACTGACCCGCTACTTAACAAGCCCTTTTATCCCAATGGTCTAGTGGTTGGGATTCTGACATTTGTCAATTTATTCTGACGCGAGCGGGAAAAACCAGAATGACGATCATTTTGGGCGAGGGTTTCTTCTAGTTACCATTCGCGTGATAGGCTGCTAGTGTATAGTTACCATACGCGTTAAGCGAGTTACCAAACGTGTTAAGCGAGTTACCAAACGCGTTAAACGAGTTACTAAACACGTTGAAATCGCTACCGTACGCGTTATAATTCCCCATGTAAGTTACCATTGACATATTTTCCCCTATTTATATCCTGGTACTGCAGACTCTCCGGGCCCACCACCAGCAACTGAAAATATAGCCAGAGGTGCCACCATTTTGGGCACCAATTTAGTATACACTTGCGAGCTATGACGAATCCGGATACCAGCCTGGTGGTGATTTCGCAATTTCACTGTACAAGCCAGGATCGATCCCCACTCAGGATCGATCGTGGCTTCCTCCCTAGAGGTGCCGCGTCCTAACCGTGGTTTTGAACCCTAGTCCCAAAAAATTCTCAGGGTTACGTGTACACCTCAATCCTGATTTGTCAGGGTGCATCTCCAAGAGAATACTGAATAGTCAGTGCTATATTTTAAACAATACTGATTTTCCAGTGCTGGACCACCAGAGGGATCCTGAAATCAGGGCATTCAGGATCTTTTACCCTGATAACTGAGGGCCTGCAAGTCAGCTAGGCAAACAGAAGGCAACAAACAAGCAAATGCTACATCACCTCCTACTACAGATTCCTTCCCATATTGAACTTGTCCCCTGGTGCAACCAGCGGACTTATCAATGACAGCCAGTATACGGCCAGTAATTCACTAGCAGCCTGATTCAACACAGCCATTGGCTCAGGGCTCACAGCCTTGCTGCCGCCTTCACGATTCCTCTTGTGTGTTCCCTTGTGCAGCACTGCTGCCACCGCTGCTTGCCGCTGCTGGCTCAGTGGCTGCTGCGCTGCTATCAGGGGCTGCGCCTTGCTCCTGGTCATCCTTGGGGGGGTCCAGCAGGTGCCACTCGCGAATCACTGCCGCCTGCATGGCGGGAGGGCGATTAGAAGATGGCAGAGGGAGGGTGGAGCCAAGGGATAGTGGCAAGTGGCCAGGGGCACATATGTGGATGAATTTCTTCGTGTATGCGAACGCGCGTGCACATGCGTGAGTGTGTGTGTGCGTGCGCGTGTGTGTGTGCGTGTGTGTGTGCTTGTGTGCATGTGTGTGTGCGTGGGTGTGTGTATGTGCTATGCGTGTGTGCATGTGTGTGTGCACGTGCGTGTGTGCATGTGTGGACATGTGTGTGCATGTGTGTATGTGTGTAGTCTGTATGTGTGTGTGCATGTGCATGTGTGTTTGTCCATGTGCGTGTGTGTGTGTGCGCGTGTGTGTTTACACGTGTGCGTGTGTCCGTTTGCGTGTGTACGCGCGCGCGCGCGTGTGTGTGTGTGCGTGTGTGTGTATGTGTGTGTGTGTGTGTGCGTGTGCGTGCGAGTGCGTGTGTGTGCATGTGTGTGCGTGCACCCCCAAGTGCACGAGCACGGTGCAGTGCAACGCGGGAGCCAAGTGGTACCTGCCCAAAGCGCTCGCCATCTGTCGCCACGAGCGTCCACACTGGTTAGTTGGGGAAGGGGAGAAGGAGAACGAGCGTGAGTGAACGAGGAGAAGCAAGGGGGGGTGAGAGAGGAGCAGAGACAGCAGCAGCAGGGACATGTGCAGACAGATTATATAAGTGAGGTTGAAAAAGCAGTGTGAACAGGTCGTGCTTTCAATGGCCGAGACAAAGCAAATGGGGTCCAAGGAGAGGGAAACGGAAGGACAATCGACGCATGGGCGCATGGAACAAGAACATTTCAAGACTTATCCAGGCAAGAGAGTGGTGTGGAGACATGGGGCAGCATGAGGCGAGGGCACGCACAGACACCGTCATCGATCTCAAACTTGGCCCCCTTGGTAGACACTCGCACCAACCCCTTCAGATCCGTGGGCTTCTGCTCACGGGCCACAGCATGGCATGCACACACACGCATGTGGTTTCACGTGGAAAGTGGGGACTAAGGAGATCGGAGGGGGAGAATAATTGTGCAAGCGTGTAGATTCATCACATGCGAAAGCCTCCGTTGCTCAACTCTCACAGCCTGCTCCCACTACCAGCAGCACTCACATCCTGCTGCCCCTCACTCCTCACTCCATCATCCCCCTCGTGCCATTGGAACGTCCACAACCCTAACATTCCCCACCAACCCTTCCTCCCCCCCCACTCCCAACTCCTATTTCCCCCTCCCCCCCTCAGCCCCCCTTACCTCCTCGGCCTGCTGCAGCAGCTCCTTGCGTGTGGGCGAGTCGGGGTCGGGCGAGGAGTAGCGCGACGGCAGCGCCGTGAACTCGCCCCACGTGCTCTCAAACGCTCGCAGGGCGCTCTCGTTCGCTGGGCGTGGGGGAGGTGGGCGTGTGGGGGGTGGGGGGGGAGGGGGGAACCAGAGATGGGAGTTTGGTCGAGGGGATGGAGGAGGGCAAAGGAGGGGGATCTGACGCGGAGCAGCATGGCGCCAATATGTGCGATGGTGCTGTGATGGGCGTGGGGACATGCAGTGACAGCAAGGCTGCAGCGCACAGCGCATGCATCGTGGAGACGATAATCCCAGCAGCGGAGTGACATGGCATGGTGATGCCTCATCTCATTCCAAATCATGCCATGCCATGCCAGGGCATGCCCACCCCATGGCATGGCATGGCATGGCAGCGCACCATAGTTGAAGAGGGGGTCATCCTCGGTGCCATGGGAGAGCACGAGGAACGGTGCGCTCCACAGCTCCTTGGCCGCCTCCACCACCTCCACCGGCTTGTCAAACACTGGCCTCCCCGTCGCCCGGTAGTAGCTGGGGCAGGTGCACCCGGGTTGAAAGGGGGGGGGAGGGAGGAGGGAGAGGAGGGAAGCAAGAAGGGGATGGGGTAAGGGGTGTTGGGTGGCTGGGAGTGCGTGTCGAGTGCAAATGGGAGGTTAAAGCGGAGGCAGGGAGGCCGAGGCGAATGCGATGGTGCGGACGATGCAGCATGAGGCGATGCCAGCAGCACAGAGCACATGGCGCACACAGGGTGTAATGAATATGGCACATCCCACCCCATCGCATCCCATCCCATGTCATGTCATAGCATCCTACCCAATCCGATCCAATCCCATCCCCTGCCATGGCCGCCAACCTGTCGATGAGCTCGAGCGAGTGCATGATGATGTCAGCATTCATGTACGGCGGTCGCGACTCGTCCACGGCCGCACCCTCCTCCGCGCTCTTCTTCCCCTGCCCCGCCTTCGGGATTGCCGAACCGCCCTTCTTCTTCCCGCCCTTCCCGCCTTTCGCCATCGCCACCACTCGCACCCCGCATCGCCCGCCCGCCTCCTGCGGCGACCAGCACGCTCGGCGCTCGGCGGTTTGTCGACTGCCGCGAGACGCGGAGAAGCATGCGGGAAGGGCGGCTAGCCGACACGCACCTGGGCGATAGAGAAGGGGTGGGGGGGGGGGGGGGGGGGGGGGTGGGAATCTGAGCTCGCGTACGCAGGCAGCGTACAGTTATATTGGAAAATATGAAAAAGCGCCTCTGACCAGCGAGTGGTCGTATTGCGGAATCTAAGAACACGTCTGAAACACCGTGATTAAGGCGAGAACTAGCGGGGATGCATGGCGCGCAGCGGACAGCGCATCGCGTGCGAACGGGCGCGCACGGACTCACTCGCAGCTGCGGCCGCCATGGCGGATTCGCGCGGCGGAAAAGATGCGGTGGGCGGGGAGATGAGCGCGTGGCGGTGAGGGGAGGGATATAGGGAGGAAACGGATTCGGGATGGTGACAATGGATGGTCCGAGCAAGGGGAGGAGGGATTTGTTGGACAAAGGTTTTGTTGGGTCAGTCGTTCCGAGCGAGAGCTGGAAGTGGTGTCACACTTGTCGCCAATATTCGTTCGAGAAATCTGTCCAATTCCGTCATCGCAACACCCGTAACCGTTTCGCGAAATCTGGGTTGAGATTCATACACATGTATCCCACTCCGTATTGAGCATCTTGCTTTGCACACAACAGCAGTTGTTGGGAATTTGTCTGTCGATCCACCCGATGCTTGTCGACAGTTCGCCCACTCTACGCTCCGGAGAGCACTGCCGTCGTGCCCGCGCAGCTCCCTCTTTCCACAGATAATCGCAAACCCCTTTCGGCGGCACCGATTGCCTATCGATGGCGTCGCGTGGTGGGTTGCGGCAGGGCGACATGAGCGACGAGGATCTAGAACGGCAGCAGGCGGAGTTCATGGCGGGCCGGCAGCCGGCCGCCGCCACTGTCGTGCGACTCAATAGCGCGGACGGTGACGCGCAGTCCGCCGATACTGGTGCGTGCTGTCGTGCGTGTGCGCTCACTCTCCATGGCTGCCCTCCATCGGGCCTATCCACCCGCTTCTTTCCTTCCGACCTCACTCCGTCTTTTCGTCCTCCCCTCCCCCTTCTTCCTGCCTCTGCAGCTTCAGGGGGAAGATCGGTCACAGCTGTGCAGTCGGCACGGGGAGGAGGGCGGGGGAGCGGCAGCGAGGAGCAGCAGCGGCGGAAGCAGCAAGAAAGGCAGCAGCTGCAGAGGCGGAAGCAGCAGCGCCAACAGCAGCAGCAGCGGGAGGAGGAGCAGAGGAGCATGGGGCTGGACGGATTACAGGGCGGGGGAGGCGAGGGGGAGTACCGTCCGCTCACTGTGCTGAGCGGAATCCGCGAGAAGGGCTTTGGCGACGCCCCTGCGCGCCCCTCCGCGCCCGTTGTCCCCCTGCCCATGTCCGCCCTCGCCTTCCCCGTCGCCCGCCACCGTGCAGAGGGCCCTGTGCGTGCTGGGGGGGTAAAGAGAAACGTGTGCGGTTGGAAGGGGGGAGCGTTGGTGCTTGTAGTGGGGCGAGGCTGCAGAGTGGGTGTGGGTTGTAGTGATTTACTGGCAGGCTAACCCCGGCTCATGTTCGGCCTAGAAACCCCTTTGCCGTAAACCCCCTTTCGCCTTATACCCCTCCTCACCCTTAACCCCCTCTCGCCCTAATTCCTGGTCTAGTTAACCCCTGTTCTCCTTAAACCCCTTCCTGCTCGCCCCGAACCCCTGGTCACCCTAAACCCCTGGTTGTGTTGAACTCTTGCCCCCTTGCAAACTCCGTGCACCTCCCACTCCCACAGCACTGGCAGCCGGCAGTGGTTCATGCGTCCCCCCTCGCTGCCTCGAGCCCTCCCCACGACCCCTCCGTGCTGCCCCCCCCTGCTGCTGCTGCCGCATCCGCCGTGCCTCTGCGCCCACAGCAGGCGGTTGCGGGGGGGAGAGGGGCAGCAGGCACGCATCAAGAGGCGGAGTGGAACAGGGGCGGCATGGGGGTGGACGGGGGGCTGGGGAGGAGGGGAGGGGAGAAGGAAGGGGCGAGAGTGAGGGAGGAGGGGGGGATGGGGGCGGTGGAGGGAGAGGCAATGGGTGTGGATGGGGGAATGGAGGCAGTGGGCGGGCAGGCCGGGGGAGCGCGTGTGAGCGATAGAGAGAGGGTAGCGAGGGAGGGGCGAATCGCTCGTGCTGCTGTTGCAGGAGCAGGGGCGGAAGGTGCTGTTGCTGCGGTGCCTGGGGGCAGTCCAGCACGGAGCGACACGGCTGCACCGGTGGTTGGTGGTGGTGGTGGCGGCGGGGTGGGGGAGACGAAGGAGCAGAGGGAGATAGACGAGGCGAACAGGGGGGTGGTGAGCGGCATGAGTGCAGCACAGATAGCGGAGGCACAGGCGGAGCTCATGGCACGCCTGCCCCCGGGGGCTCTGGACATGCTCAGGCGGCGAGGCAGGGAGAAGGAGGAGCGGCGCAGAGGGTTGGGTGCAGGGCAAGGGAGCAGGCCGGAGGGAGTGAGTGGTGGAGCAGGCAGTGGTGGGGCGGGGGAGGAGAAGCAACAGCAGGAGGAAATGCAGGTGGATGGTGGCAGCAGTGGGGACAATGGCGGTGCATCACTACAGTCCTCCCAGCAGCCTCTCTCGCACCATGCACCTGCCAGTGGTCCTTCAGTGCCACGTCAGCATGACCGCCCTGCCACGTGGGAGCAGCGAGTGGAGTGCATTCGCAGTGTGCGGTTTGCCATGGATGGGCGGCCAGTCCCTGCTGACGTGGCACGCGAGGCAGAGAGTGCTCTGGGGGTGCCGGCTGAAGCTGCCATGCAGTTTGACCAGGGTACCGTGCCATGCATGATGCCATGCATGATGGCATGATGGTGTGGTGCCAGTCTGCTCAACTGTGATGCCACCAGCGTTTCATGATTCACTTGTCCCATGCCGTGTCCTCTTCATTCTATTTTCCCTCTGCTCCTCCTCGCTCCCCATCTTCCATCCCTCCGCCTGCAGACTCACCGCAGGGCATGGCGGTGCGTGACCTGGCGGTGCGACACGTGGCGGAGCGCGATTGGCTGAGGACGGGAGCACAGCCAGGGAGGGCGGGGTACACGGTGCGCGAGGCGGTGGCGCTGTCGCGCAGCCACGTGCCCGCCCAGGCCGCTGCTGGACTCGCCCTGCTCTCTGCTCTGCTCTCAAGGGCAACACATGCACAGACAGGCCGGGGTGAAAGGGACGGTGAGGGCATGATGGGAGGCGGAGACGGGGAGGTGGGGCGAGGGGGCATGGAGGAGGAGGAGGAGGAGGAGGACTGGGAGGCGGTGTGGGCGTATGCGCTGAGCCACGAGGTGCAGCTCCTGCTCGCCCTGCGGTGAGCCTCCTGCTGCCCTAAACCCGTCGGACCATCCTCTCTCGCACTCCCACTCCCATTCCCACGCCCACACACTCACAACCATTGTCCCTCACAACCAGAACTCTCATGTACCCCTCCAAACCACGTGCCCTTGTGCTGTGCACCTCACACCTTGCTCTCCACCTGCTCCCCCCTTGTACTCCACCCATCTGCACCCACCACCCTCTCCTTCCCTCGTGGGTCCATCCCCGGTCAACCTGACTGCCCGCCATCCCATGTGTGGTGCGTGCATGTGCATGGCGGGGCAGGCTAGCATTGGACCACGAGCACATTCAGGTCATCGCAGCAGCGCTCGCCCTCGCCCTGCACGTCCTCTCCTTCGCCCCCAACCACCGCTTCTTCTCGCTCTCTCAGGTCACCTCCCTGCCCCTCGCCCTTCATCCGCCCACCTGCCTCCCCCTGCCTTGCCTTTCCATATTCCCACGGGTTTGATGACAAGTGCTTTCTTTGCCAGTGTTTTCTCTGCTACATGCACCCATCACCCGTCACTATCTCTCAGTCCCCCCCACCTCCCCATCTGTGCGACTACCATCCCTCCTCATTTCTCCATCACATCCCCTCCCTTTTTCTCTCACCTCGCTTTCAATCCCCCTTATGGGCGTCTCACTGCCTGTGTCCCCGTGCAACGGTATGCTTCACTCTACGTCCAGCAGAGTGTGTGGCGTGGGGAGGCCATCACAGCCACAGCCCCTGTGCACAAGCCCAAGGCCGCCGCCTCTTTCCTACCCGCGCCCCTCACCGCCTCCTCCTCCCCCTCCTCCGCGCCCTCCCTGCTGCCTGCTTTTGCCCGCGGGCACCACTGGCGCCGCAACGTGGCTCGCTCTGAGCTGCTGCTGCCCGCGGCACTGCTGCCTGCCGATGCTGATGGCGACGATGGGGAGGACGAGGACGAGGAGGAGGGCGGGGGCATGGAGGGCATGGGGCTGGCTGGCGCGGGCATGGAGGGCGCAGGGGAGGGCGACAAGCAAACGGTGGGGAGTGATGCGAACGTGGCATGCAGGGATGTGTGCGCTGGGCTCATCCGCATGGGCATCCTGCCCCGCCTCGCCTACCTGCTCCAGGTCTCCGCACCCGTTCTCCTCATGTCTCCCGGTTTTTCACGCAGACCTTCAACCCTAAATGTGTGCACTCTGCTATTCATGATAAGAGTTCTGCATGCATGAGCCACTGCCAATCTGTGTAACCGCGTCACCCTCTACCCCCGCATCCCCTTCCCTCCACATGCCCCATGCCCCTCTTCCCCTCCGTGTGCAACTGCCCGCAGCCACACTCCCCTCTGCAGCACCACACGCACCTGCACCTGCCGTGCCTGCACGTGGCCCTCTGCATCGCCCACCACTCCCCCGCTGCTGCCACCGCCCTCGCTCACTCCCTCCACCTGCTTCCCCCACCGCCCACCCCCTCCTCCTCGGCCGCCCCTCGCTCGCCCCTCTCGGCCATCCTAGCAGCCCCCAGCAGCCCTGAGCTGCTGGCTGCTGCAAGCGACATTATCAAGGCAAGCACGGCAGGGCACTGGGATGGCCATGCCATACGCCATTCACATGGGCTCCTCTCTGCATTGCGTGTTCTCGCCTCTTTTAATTGTCTTCATTGTCCTTTAGATGCATCAAGTGTTCCACATCCCTTTTGCTGCCATGCAATTCTCCCCTGCCTCCTGCTTCTCACTCACTCTCCTCTTCCCCTCCTCCATTCACCACCCACTCCATTACCTGACTCCCTCACACACCCGCCCACCCCACCAGGCGTGCAGTGCAGCCAGCCCAATGATCGCCCGCCACGTGGCATCCTCTGACCTCATCCACCTCACCCTGCACCACCTGCTGCTCCTCCCCCTCCCGCGCCCGCCCTCCTCCTCCGCACTTTCTCTGGCGTCGCTCCCAGCAGTGTTGGCAGTGCTCTCCCTGTGGCGAGTGCTAGCGCGCCAGGGCCTCACCGCACACCTCTTCTCTGACTACTCCCTCTTCTTTGCTCGCTTCCTCGATCCCCCCATCCCCGCCGCCACCACTGCTGCTGGGCATGAGGGGGGCAAGGCGGAGGGGGAGGGCGTGTGGGGGGGAGCGGAGGTGTGTGTGGGGCGAGAGGCGGTGCTGGTGCTGGAGGCGCTGTGCTGCGCGCTGCCACGGCTCCGAGGCGTGGTGCCTGCGGGCAATGGGGATGGTGACGGGGAGAGCGTTGAGGCAGAGAGGGACACGGGAGACAATATTGGATGGAGCGTGGTGGTTGCGCTTTTGCCCATGGCGCTGCGCTGGCTGCAGAATTCCCTGGTTGCTCGCCTCTCCTCTGGCCTCCGTGCCGCACTCGCACACTCGCACCCTCACACACACCCTCACTCTCATTCTTGCACAGAACAGCATGGGCAGGCACGGGAAGGCACACCGGCAGACGAGATGGAAGTGGATGGTGGGGTTGGGAGAGAGGGAAGTGGTTTGAACGGTGCGGGCATGAGGAGGGTGGCAGAGGAAGCAGCAGCGGTGGCAGCAGTGCTGCACTGTCTGGCCACTGTTGTCACTCGTGCTGTGCCCACACCACTCCATGCAGCAGCTGAGCCAGCAGCGCACGGGCAGCAAAGTGGGGCGCAGGCAGGGGAAGGGCCGTGTGTGCGCCCTCCGTTCATTGACGCCATTACATCCGCCCTCCTGCAATCTGGACTGCTGCCCTGCGCATTGCCCCCCACACCTGCATCCGCCCCACACGCTCCACCTGCACTTCTCCCACCCGCCTCACCCACCTTCCATCTGCTGGCAGCAGCAGCGCGTTTGCCGTGTGCGCTGGGTGTGGCGAGTGCGAGCTGCCTGCACGGCATGCTGCGCCTCCTGGGCTGCCTGCTGCTCCACAACCACGCGTGCCCGCCCTTTGTCACCCACACCTCCGCAGCACCATCATCACCGTCCATGGCACCACCGCCATCATCACCATCATCGGCAGCAGTAGCAGCAGCGGGAGCGGCAGCAGCGTTATCTGCCTGCATCCCATCCTTCCTGCCGCTGCTGACCTCCTCGGCTTGCTTGCTCTCCACCAGGGCAGCAGGCAGACCCCTCTCACCTGTCACGCACCGCTTGTACACCACAGCCCGTGCAGGCGTCGGGGCGCTGGTGTGGCGCGAGGGCAGCACGGAGAGAGGAGGCCCAGCACCAGGGGTGGGGGCGGGGTGGGGGGGGCGAGGGGGCCAGGGAGGGGAGGGGTGGTGGGGAGTGGAGGCGGTGCTGTCTTCACAGCACATTGCCATGGTGGCAGCGCTGCTGGCGCTGCTGCAGAATCAGGGGTGCATGCAGCCTGAGGGGAGCGGAGTGAGTGGGAATGAAGCTGGTGAGAAGGGAGTGAGTGCGAGGGAGTTGGTGGAGGTGTGTTTTGCGGTGGTGGGCAGTGCAGGGCCTGCAGACGCTGAACCTGTGACCTTCATTCTGCTGCACACGCTGCTCTCGCCATGCGTCCTCGCCTTCTCCCCTGCTGTGCCCCCTGTGCCATCCAGCGTGCATGAACAAGCCCAGGTGGAAATGCACGGAGAGAGAGGTGAGGTGGTGGAGGGGCATGCTGGCAGTGGTGGTGGAGCGGGTGTGTGGCTGCCCTGTGTGCGGCAGCTGCTGGAGGCCCTCTGGTTCACCCGCCACACCTCTCACACCGCACTCCCTGCTGCTCCCACAAGCGTGGGCAGGCGAGGGAAAGAGAGGGAGGGGGTGGAAGGGCGGCTGGCTGCTGTGGAGGAAGGGGAGGAGGAGGGGGAGATGGAAGGAGTGGAGCAAGGAGGGGAGGTGCAGCAGGAGGGTGGCGGCAACGGTGGCGAGAGGAGAGTGAGGTTTGCCGAGGGAGCAGGGGAAGGGACAGCAGGCGGTGCTTCCGGTGATAGCCCCACCACTGCCAGCAGCAGCTGCAGCAATGCTTCAGGCGTGGAGAGCGGTGCATGGGCGGGCAGCAGCAGTGGGTCGTTCTTGCTGCAAGGCGCATGTGTGACAGCACAGCCGCTGCTGCTCCAATGGCACGCACACACCCTTCCTCTCCCTCCCGCCTGGCTCCTCATCCCACTGCCTGCTGCCGCTGCACTGGCCGCTGCTGCATCTGCCACCCACAGCACTGCGCCCTCTGAGTCTGCCCGTCCTGCACCGCTCTCTCCCCTCCACACGCTGCACGCCCTGCTCGCCTTCCTCACCACCTTAGAGACCACTCCCTCCACGGCGCCGCACATGGCGTGCCTCCCCGTGTCCCTCAAGCTGCACCACCTCTCACTGCTTTTCCTTGCCGACCCACCTCTCTACCTGCAACCCGCCCTCACCCGCCCCATTGCATGTCTGCAGGACGCATATGCCCTGCAGCTCACATCACAGCACCCCGTGCTTGACTTCCCGCCGCACCTCTTCCCCCCATCGGTGTACGAGTCCTTCCTCCAAACCCTTTCTGACCACTTCGCTGCAGCCTCATTTGGCCATGTCCTCTTTGCCCGCCAGCTCGCCACCCTCCTGCACGCGCACGTGGCTCCCGCCATTCGCCTCGCCGCCTGGCGTGCCCTTGATGCTGCCTCCGCACTGCACCTGCTGCCACCGCTCGCGCTCTGTGCTGGCAGCCCCATGGGGTACCTGTATGCCTCGCCTGACTGCCAAGATGTTGGGGGGCGTGAGCCACTGGGGCTGGGGCAAGGGCAAGCAGTGGGCGGTGCGGGGGGGGCGTTGCTGCAGGCATGCATGCAGTCATTGGAATGTGGTGCGCTTGACAAATGCTGCTCGCTGCTCACCCCTGCCACCTCCCTCGCACACGTGGCCCATGCCCCTGGAGAAACGAGCCAGCCAGATGCCCCACTGCTGACACTCATGGCACTCTCTCCCCACAAGGCCGTGCCCCACTACCCCCTCTCACTTGCTCTAGCTGCCTCGCTGCTCGTCGCCTTCCTCTTTGACCATGCACCTGACTCTGACTACCCCACCCCTGTGGGTGTCGCAGCATCTGCACACTCTGACAATCATCAGCCTCAATTGGGTGAACCCCTTTTGCCTCAATCACAGACTGCCATGTGGCAGCGTGAGAGCGTAGCGCGGCGGCTGGCCAGGTATGCGCAGCGCACCCCAGTGGCTCGACAACTGGTGGCCTACCTGCTAACGTGGCAGCTGCCAGGATGGCAGGACAGGTGGCGGGGCTCTGACAGTGAGAGCCCAGATGGTGCAGGACTGAGCGAGGAGGGGGGAGGAGTGCAGCAGGAGGAAGAGCAGGACATGGGAAGGAGCGGGTGGGTGGTGGGCAAGGCGGTGGTGCTACGGCGCATGGCACTGCTGCACAGGGCACTGCAGGCTGGTGCTGGGGCTGCTGCTGAGGCAAGCAAGGGTGCGATGGCGGAAGAGACAGGCGTGGCAGCATCAGGAGGGGGTGATGCAGCATTGAGTGCTCTGCAGGCTGAGGCAGTGCGCATCTCAATGCAAGCTCACTCAGCCACTCCAAGCACTGCCTCCTTGGGGTAGCAGCACCACCCGCATGCACACCTTTTTGTTTCACCCTCATTTCCAAACTCCGTTGGAGTGGTTCTTGCTCTGTAACTTACGGTATTTGTTTTCGAAGTGGAGGTTTTCCTGGTAGGGCACCTTGATTCAGCAGTCGAAGTTTTGGGCAGTAATGTAGTACATCAGCATCTTGTGTTCTCTTGCCAAGGGCCATCCATCCATCCCTTGATGAGACTTTTCCTAACCTTAGTCAGGTGTTACCACATGAGCAAATTCACTCGATGTGGCTGAGTCCTCATAACAAGTACAGACCTTACTAAGCAATCTGTGCCAACATCACACAAATTAATATAGCTATCGCATTGACCGGCAAGAACCTACAGGCATCGCGCATTCCATGTGTTGGTCACCTCTAACAACTAGCTCTTCCAGCAGCCGTCCTGCCCCAATGCCTTCACCCCATTTTCCCAACCCCCATCTGCGCTCACAGCACGGGCATGTACGCCCCGCCATGGCCTCGGCGCAGCAGGAGGGGGGCAGTGGTGGCGGGCACGCGGTCCAGCATGCTGAGGCACTTGTCCACCTCCGCAGGGGCGGCACGTGACACCGTCGCCAGCTGCAGCCGCTCCTCCAGGTTCGGCACGAGCCACAGCAGGTGCCGGAACGCACCAGCAAGATAGTTCACGTGAGCGGAGCGGTTGTTACCCACCTCGTGCTGCACGCGCTCCGCCACGTCTAGCAGCATGTCCAGCGCCATCGGCACCGCCATCGCCCACTCGTCCAGGAACTCTGGCGACGGTCGGAAGCGGTCCAGGTGGGTCCAGAGGAGTAGCGACCAGTCGGCAGGCGAGGTGAGATCGTATGCGTTGGCGATGACGAGCGCCTCGAAGAAGCGGTGCTGCTGCTGCAGCAGCACGCTGGCAGCAGCGGGTGTCAGCCCCACGAGCGTGTCCCCCACATGCACCTGCAGCCCCAGCAGTGCCGCCTGCGCCACGCTGCGCCGCGCCCTGTCGCCCGCCCCCAGCTCGTCCCACATGGAGGCGGCGGCTGTGAGGCAGCGCATGGCGTCGAGCAGCATGAGCACGGCGGCGTCGTCGTTGGCGTGCAGCCAGCGCGACGACTGCAGCGCCCGCCAGTCCGTCAGGTAGTCCCCCGCGCGCCTCTCATGCGCCTCCGCCAACTCCCGTGCCGGCCCCAGCTGCTGCAACACCTGCCACATGGGGGGGGAGGAGGGGGGGGTGTGGTACGCAGAAAGAGCATGTATACACATGGTGAGAAGACTCCATGCTCATGCGTGTGCTTGTGCGGAAACATGGAAGTGGATGGAAATCAGGCGGCGAGTACAAAGCAGGGTGGTATGGGGAGGAGGGCATACGAGGTTCTTGCTGTCGTCGCACAGCCCCTGGCTCCATGCCGCTGTGTGCAGTGCAATGCGCACCTCCAATGCCAAACACCCCCCTCCCCCGCTGCACCTGCCACCACCAACGCCGCTGCCCCGCCTGGAGGCATGCGGCACGGCCGTGGGAACAGGGCAGAAGCCTCTGGCACAAGTGGCGCACATGGTGGTGGCGGTGGATGGGGGCGGGGCAAAGGCGGAGAGGGAGAGCATGCTACTCATGGGGTTTCTGGCGCTGGCGGCAGGAAGGGTGGCTTGGAGGAAGACGGAGCGCACGGCATGGGCAGCAGAGGCGGCGGCAGGCAGGCGGGAGAGCAGGAAGGCAAGCTGGCCGGAGGCAAGGAGTCGCGTGAGGATGAAGCAGAGGGGGCGCGGGTTGGTGGTGGCGAGGAGCAGACGCAGGGAGGCGGATGCAAGGGACGACGAGGACAATGACACCGCACACTGCACCATCGCCTCTGTGACACGTGGCAGCGTCTCATTGGCTGCCAAGGGGACTGCCACACTGGCGTAGTGTGCAAGAAGCAGCACATCGACCTGGACACAGACAGGTACACGACCACTAAGGTAAGTTGGTTGGGGAGCAAAGCGGAGAGGATGGCGAGATAGAGGCAAAGGAGGTGAAGCAACATTGAAAAGCTGGTGTTCAAGGATTGACAGAACTAGCGAGCACGTGGTTCTAAGCATTATCGTGCAAGCAAGTGGTGAGTGGAGAGGCGACGCAATGAAAAGGCAGCACGGGCCGTTCATGACTGACCTGTGTGTTGGCGTTGGCCCCGTCAAGGTGTTTCAGGCAGTGAAGCAGAGCCAGAGGCAGGAAAATCAAGGGCGGAGCCTCACTGCTCTCGCCCCTGCTGCTGCTGTTGTGGGCAGATGGTGAAGCAGGAGGCAGCGGTGGGAATGCGAAAGGGAGGTCAGGCAGGGCGGGGTGGTGGGAGAGCAGGGAGAGCAGCGCCACCACCTCTGACTCATCCCATGGCAGGCGAGACGTGGCATCCAGTGCACCGGGTGCATCCCCTCCCCACAGCGCCTTGCCACTGGCAGTGCGCCCTAAGCTGCGTCCAGACGCTGCTGCTGATGATGACAGTGAGGATGCACGCGCGAGGAGGGGCGAGGGGTGGAAGGACCGAGGCGAGGCTGCGGACGACGAGGGAGGTGGTGCAGCGGGGTGCGATGGGGACATGAATGCAGTGCGGGCGACATTGGCACTGCCCTGTCGGGCTGCACCCCATGCCGCTGTGCTGCCGCCACCCACTCCCTGCACGGCCTCCCCATCGCCATGCCCTCTGCCCCGTACGTCCGTGAACCGCCTGTATGCAGCGTTGCGCCATGTGGTGCTGGCTGCACTGCTGTACCCGCTGTCTATCACCTGCAAGCACCGCACAGCACACAGTGCACAGGAGCGCGACGCATAGAAGCATTGAGTGGTGGAATGGAGGAGGGATGAGATTGCTATGGAGAGCATGCATCATGCACTGCACAGCAGGGCGAGGAGGAACCACGGAAGGGTGCATTGGCAGGAGGCATGGCAGGAGGCATAGAGCAGAGGAGGTGACCTGAACGATTCGCTCTGCCACGGCGGGCACGGCATCAGCGCCGGACAGCACCCCTGTGGCCAGCAGCAGCTGCACACTCGCCACCGCCGCTTCTCCCTCCGCCAGCAGCGCTCGCAGAAGCGCAGGCACGGAGACGGTGGAGAGCGGTTCGGAGAGGCTCGACAGGAGCTGCAGTGCTTGGCGGCGGGCGAAGCAGCGCAGGATGCAGAGCCGGGCGGAGGGGAGCGAGACGAGCCTGGCAAGGGCTGTGAGGACCTGGGGGAGAGGAATCATGGCGGGAGAGGTGGGACGACGAGGGGTATGAGGGACATGGCATGGCGGACCCATGGAAGAATGCAGCAAGTGGCACAAGCCGTGATGCATGTGGGACACATGAGTTGCATGGGGAGCATGGGGAGCATGGGGAGCATGGGCAGCATGGGGAGCATGGGTTGCGCACATCCAAGGGTTGGTCGGAGAAGAGCAGGTGGCGAGTATCGTCCTCCACAGGGCATGTGCGGCATGCATGCAGCACCATGGCATGCATGTCCTCGTCCATCATGCCCTCATGCACCGCTATCGCCTCTGCTGCCTCCACCATCGCCACATCCGCCTCCATCATGCCTTCCCTGCCATCATCACCATCCACGTGTGCACACACTGCACGTGCACCCTCCATCTGCCCTCGCTCCAGCAGCACCTGCACCACGCCCTCCCTCGCCCTCTCCTCCTCCTCTCCTCTCCCTGCATCGCCGTCTGTTGACGGCCAAACGGGTGGCAGTGGCAGCTGGGTGGTGCAGGAGGAGGGCGTGTCGAGCGGGGCGGCGGCGGCAGCGCAGAGGGCGTCTTGGTTGGCAGCCATCACGCGCGCGGTGCGAGCGAGGAAGGAGCTCGCAGGGCCACGCGCCAGGCGGTGCCACAGGGAGCAGAGCGGCACGGCGAGCCCGGGGAAGGGAGTGCAGTGGTGGGGCGAGGGCAGGGGGTGGTCCGCCAGTGCTGCCACCTCCCACACACGGCAGGCGAGGGCGGAGAGCGACAGCTCGCACTCAGTGGTGGTGGCGTGCGGGGTTGTGCAGTCCTCAGGTGCCGTGTGCAGTGCTGCTGCTGACCTGCATGCATGGCTGGGGCGGTGAGGGCACATGATGCAGGAAGGAGATGGGGCGAGAGAGCATGAGGAGGCAGCGGTGAAACACAGACGGAAGTACGGGAGGCAACGGGATATTGATGCACGATAGAGGGATGCAGCAGCGTGGTGCAGGGCAGAGGTCCGTACAGATAAGCCAGGTGGTATGCTCTGAGGTTCCACTGCAGTGCAAGCAGCAGCACGGGGTGCAGACACCGTGCCCTCCTCTGCGCACACTCCATGTAATTGCTCCAACCATCGCCCTCCTCGCCTGCCTCACTCCAAACCTCCTCCTCCTCTTCCTCCTCTTGCCCCTCCTCTTCTCCCCCCCACACGCTCACGGCACTCCACAAGCCTTCACTGAGGGGGTCTGTCTCCGCCTCTACCCTCTCCTCCTCCTCATCCTCCCCTTTGCCCTCCACCGCCCCCACTCCATCCTCCCTGCTGCCCCCAATGCCCTCTGCGTCACTGTCAGGGGCGGGCACAGCAGCAGGCGTGGCAGTGGGGCGTGAGAGCTGGGCGCCAAGTGAGCAGGCATGGGCGAGGAAGAAGGCAACGGCACGGTGCGGTGGGAGGTGGTGGCGCATGAAGAGGTGGTGGCAGTGCTCCCACACCACTGCGCGCTCATCCTCCTCCTCCCACAGCAGGTGCTGCCACTCCTGCACCATGTGCTCCGCCTGATGGCAGGGCAGGGGACAAAAAAAGGATGGGCACAGGAAGATTTGTAGTGGTGTCAAAGGTGCCACCTAGGGCGGTGGAGGAAGGCGGCAGAAGATGAGGCGGGTGTGACAGGATTCATTAGCAGGGGCACAGACAGGAGAGAGTGTAGACGGCATGCAAGTGAAGGGAGGATACGAGCAGCACACCTGAGTGAGGGTTATGCGCGCCTGCAACGCACTGGCTTCCTGCGTCATCGATGCCGCACCCGTGCTCCCCTCCCCCATCTCATCCCCCTCCTCATCCCCGCTTCCTGCCTGTTCCACCCTCTCCCCCATCCATCCTCCCCCTCCATGTGAATTTCCTCCCCCATCTGTCATACGTGCGCCATCCCCCTGTGCTGTGCTGCCACTGCCCCCATGGCCCTCCAGCCGGCCTGCCAGTACCCGTGCCTCGTTCCACCTGCCCGCCTGCACCAGCTGCTCTAGTGCCTCATTGCCCCATCCGCCCTCCGCACTCTCCCCCCGCTCCCCCACCCTTTCCTCGCCCTGCTCCGTTGCTGCGCCCCACCCTCTATCCCCCTCCGCCCAACTCTGCTCCGCCCCTCCATCCACCCTTGCCCCTGCCGCACTGCTGGAATTTCCACGCGCAGCCACAGGGGGCACAGAGGGCAGAGGGGAGGCGGAGGACCCTGAAGGGTCACCTGAGAGCAGCTGGGTTTCCATCTGAAGCTGCTGCAGGCGGTGCTGGGCAGGTGGGGGCAGGCGGGCGCGTGATAAGAGGTGGAGGAGGGAGAGAGTTTGGTGCGGTGAGGCAGCACGGGCAATGGCTGCGTCAACTGCTAGCGATGCGAGGGAGGAGAGGATAGCCGAGGGGGAGAGAGAGCAGCGGAGGGCAAGGGAGCGCAGAGAGAGGGAGGGGGAGAAGAAGGAGGAGCGAGTGTGCAGAGGAGGGAGGTCATGGGTCGCTGCTTGCTCCTCTTCCGCTGCCCCTTCAGCACCCCACACATCCTCCAAGTCCCCCAACGCCTCCCCCAGTGCGTGCCCCTGGTGGTGCTGCGCTGCTTGCGCATGCTCGTGCTCCCTGTCCGCCAACACGTTGAACTCCGCCACACATGCCTCCGCCTCCTCACTGTGCTGCCGCCAGTGCGCCTGACGGGGAGGGGAACGGGTCCGGGGAGGGGGAAGGGTCCGGGGAGGGGGAAGTAGAGAGGTATGGAGTGCAGACGAGGAATGAAGCAGCAGGACGCAATTCATGGAGCAATTAAAATGTGTGTGCATGAAGGGTGGCATTGGCAGCACACCTGCAGTGCGAGGAGGAGGTAGAGCAGGGAGCAGCGGGGCAGGAAGAGGTGCAGCCCACGCAGCAGCGGCAGCACACACCCCTCACGGCACAGCCACGCCACCATGCCGCCCAGCCCCATGCCCCTCGCCTCCTCGCCCCCATGCCTCCTCTCCTGCCCCTCCACTTGCGTTGCCTCTGCGCCTGGCTGTGCCTGTGAATGCAGCACCCTCTGCTCCCCTTCGGCCATGGCTGCTCCCTGCCTCTCCCCTTTCCACCCTCTCTCTGCCTCCACTCGCCGCCGCTTCCCTTGCTGCAACCCCAGGACCCACTCCTGATTCCCCCCCACTCCTCCACACGCCTCCTCAACCCCCTCCTCTGCTTCACCCTCTTCCTCCCCCTCATCTCCCAGCCGCCCTAGTCTCTCCATCCCCCCCTGGGAGGACACAACCCTACCAACGGCAGCAAGGCCGTGCGATCCAGTGTGGGTCGATGCTGCAAGCAGCCTGGCGCACAATGAGGTTGGGGGGAAAGCGGGGAATGAGAGGGGAAAAGAGGTTGGAAAAGCAGCAGCAACAACTGGTAGCAGGTATGCGGCAGTGCGGGTGTGGGGCAGAGTGGAGTGGGCGTTTTCTTCTCTTCTTTCTCTTTGGGCCTATAAGTGAACCAAGAAAAAAAACTCATGTTTCTTTCCCATGCCAGTCCACATAGGAACCCTAAACCCTGCAACAGTACAATACTGGGGCAATGGGTGTGGGAGAGTGAAGGTGTGGGGTAGTGCTCCAGCACTCACTCTGCACAGGTGGCATGCAGCCAGCAGTCGAGGCACGCCAGGTGGAACAGTGTGATCCGCGAGCTCGCCCCTGCCTGCCTGTCCTCCGCGCCACCCTGCACGCCTGCTGCCACCACGGCCAGCAGCGGCCAGTGCAGGTGCCGTGCGTTGCGCAGCAGCTGTGCCGCCACATGGCCAGGGGGGCGAGCAGCGGTGCTCCCAGGGGTGTGTGAGTGGGCGGGCGCAGTGGTGGCTTGTGAGAGGACGTGGAAGAGGGTGGGTGTGCGATGGTACGGCAGCAGCGAGGGCGGTGGGCAGGAGGGGGTGGCACAGCGGGCGAGGGCGAGCGAGAGGTGGTGGCGCAGCGGCAGGTGCGGCACGTGCTGGTGGACCTGGAGGCGCAGGGGAGAGGCGTGAGAGGGGAGATAGAGATTGGGTATCAATGGCAAGGGCCCATGGTGGTGGAGAAAAAGTGGTGGTGAATGGTGTGCACACATATGGTGGAGGGCGCAGTGAGCAGTGCTAGGCCATGTATGAAGTCGATAGTACAGACTGCTGCAGTGGCGAAACACAGAGGCAATGCAAGGCATAGGAGGGTTTAGGGAGTGAGGAAGTGAGCGCGGGGCGAGGGCAGTGGAGAGCGTTACGATGTGCAGGAGGTCGTGGAGGGGCCATGCTTGCGCCTGTGCCTGTGCCAGCAACCCCATCTGGAGGAGGCAAACCAAGACACAAGACAGAGGATTTAGGTGTTGGGAGCGGCGAATCGTGTCACACAGCACACACACATGAAGCCCCCCCATGCAGCCCAAGCCATACCCAGTCGTTAGCGCGTGCGAAGCGCAGTAAGAGTGTGTTAGGGGGTGGAAGAGAGAACTCCGCTGCAAGAGCCAGCACCAACGCCCACTCGTCCCTCTGCTGCTGCTGCTGCTCCCTGCTCTGCATCGCCTGCTGCACTCGCCGCTGCCTCTCCTGCTGCTCCTCCTCCCCCACCATCTCCACTGCATGGTTCGACCACCCCCGCACCACACCCTTCCCTACCCCTCCCTTCTCCGCTGCCCCCACCTCCACCACACAAATCCCCCCCGCACCATTCTCCCCCTCCCCCTTTCCACCTGCCCCCTCCGCCTCCCCCAGCACGGCACCCTCCAGCAGCCTCAGCAGCTGCCTCGCCGCCTTGTGCTGCGCTGCCTCCCCTTCCCTGCCCGCCCCGCCTTGCTGGTCCCCCACCCACGCACTGCAGTAGCAGTGCAGGAAGCGAGCAACGGCAGCCAGGGACGAGGGCGAGGGGGGTGGGGAGGAGGAGAGGATGAGGTGCAAGGCAGCGATGACAAGGCGCAGGCGGGAGGAGGAGAGGCCGAGCAGGGAGAGGAAGGTGGAGGCGGAGGCGAGCAGGGGCGTGTGTGTGCGCGCGAGCAGGGCTGCTGCTGATGCCAGGCCGTGCAGGTGGTGCACGGTGGCCTTAAGAGCGGCGCGGGCAACGGATGGGGAGAGCAGCGAGGGGAGGAGTGAGAGGAAGAGCGCCAAGGGCGATGCTGCCAGCAGCTGGTGGCGGAGAGAGTGAGGCAGGGGGAGCAGTGCGCTTGGATGGGCGCTAGTGGGTACCTGCGGATGGGTATGGCGGGGCGTGTGGATGGGGAAAAGGAGAAAGAGGAAAGCGGGGATAAGGGAGGTTCACTTGGGGCAGACATAATTGGTTAAAAAAAAGATGGGGTAGACTTACAATTGCTGGCATGCAGAGGAGATGACATGAGTCACCGCCGATAGCAAAAATAGACAATGCGCGAAGAGAGATTCCAGGGTTCAGTGAGGTTTGGTACCTCTGGTGCACTGCGGTTTGCCAAGGGCGAAGAGTCGGTGAGCCAGGCACAGGCATGGGGTCGGGCAGAGAGGGAGGCGAGGGAGTGGGAGAGGGCGGAGAGGGACGGCAGGCGCTGCAGGGCAGCATGGGGAGCAAGTTGGAGGGTGCATGGCAGGGGGAAGGCAGGGGGAAGCTCCCAGGGGAATGTCGCGGGGGGGAGTGAGTGGGAGGCGAGGGGGTTGGTTGAGACCGGGGTGAAGAGCAGGAGGTGCAGGCGGAGGGCGAGGGCGAGTGCAGGTGCGGGGGGCAGCGGGGCGGGGTGGTGGGAGAGTGCGTGCAGGTGATGGTGGAGTGAGTCCGGTGGTGAGAGCAGTGCTGGCGGTAGCAGGCAGGCCAGGGTGACTCCTGCACGCACACACACGCACACACAGAGGAAGAGCCAGGAAGAGGGAGGCGAGGAACGAAAAAGTGTGAAGGAGTGAAGAGAGATGGCGGCGGAGGTTGGCGTTGAGAGACGGGCAAGTGGAAACTCAAAAGTCGGTGGGATGAAGGGAAGACGAGTATGAGCAGGAAGAGCTGCCCACAAGTGCTGTCAACATGCGACTGCTAAGTAAGAATCGCACGTGCATTCAGTGCATCGCACCTTGTGCTGCATGGTGCGATGCAGTGAGTGCCATGCGCACACCCCTCATCTGCCACATGCCTCTGCCTCCCCCCAACACTGCTACCACCTCCTCCCTCCCTCCCCTGCCACTCCGCCACCACTCTCCACTCCTCTCCTCCTCTTCTTTTCGCCTGCCTTCCGCCCGCCCGCTCCCCCCATGGCCCGGTGCAGCCACATGCGTCGGGCCCAGCAGGCGGTCAAGGCAGGCGAGCAGGGGGAGGTGGGAGGGGAGGGCGGGGTGAGAGGGGGGGTGGAGAAGCAGCGCGAGCAGCAGGGAGCGCCAGAGGTGCTGCTGCCACTGCTCCACTGCTGACACATGCACTTCCTCCCACCGCCCCTCTACTGCTCTCCGCACCTCTAAGCCCGCACGTGGGCCACTGCAATCCGCCATCTCCTCCTCATGCCCCTCCTCCCCTTGCTCCTCCTCTGCCTCGCCCTCTCCTCTCTCCTCATCCTGCTCCTCCGCCTGCCCCTCCTCGTCCCCCATCGCCCTCCTCCCAGTCGCCTCATTCCCACTGTGTCCTGCAGTGCTTGCCTTACCGCACCACTCTTCCTCGCCCCACTGGCCCTTCTGCCACCACCACAGCTCATCATCTCCCCATGTATCCACGTCTGCTCCACCCACCCATCTGCACCCCACAACACCGCTCAAGTGATTCCCAGCCCACAGAGCCACAGCTCCTGCTCCTGGCCGGACCTGCCCCATTCCCCCTCCGCCACTACTCCTGTCCCCATCACCTCCCCCGCTCATCCCTGTACCTGCACCACGCCCCTCACTGCTTTTCTCACCACCCTCTTCATCCCCCCACGCGCCCTCAGTCTTCTCCCCCTGCGCCGCGCCCACCCAGGGCCACGCAGTGCCGGAAGGGGGGTGGGCGAGGAGCCACGCTAGGTTGCACCGCACCCCCTGTGCCACCTGCACGCCCGCTGCAGGGGCACCTGCGGGTGCAGCCAGGGGGCCTTGCGAGGGGGTGATGGGGGTTGGAGGAGGCGGTGGGCAGAGGGAGTGCAGCAACCAGACGTAGCAGGGGTGCGCTGAGAGGAGCTGCACCTGTGGAGCACAAGGGGCAGGAGGGAGTAAGAGGCACAGGCACGGAATAAGGGAGGGGCAAAACATGAGCGGCTTAAAGCCAGCGTCTCAAGTATGCTAAGGATCCATCAACTGCAAAGCAGTTGAAGCTAGGTTACCTAGTTATTGCAGGCGAAGTTCTCTCTGGTTGGGTTGAAAAATCAGCTTGCGACACACCCCGTCCTTGCCCCAGAAGCGATTGCACAACACTTTTGGGTACTTGAGACTTTCGATGAGTTGGGGGCATTTTAGGTTTGGCTCCGAGCCAAGTGTCCAAGCCTAGAAGGTTTGAGTACACCCAGCGATTTGAGTTTGCTTCGCACCCCTCGCTTCAACCCACTTCAAACCTTCAAATTCGCTAGCCAATCACAGCCAAACTGTCACCATCAACTGCAAAACACTTGTAGTGCTTGAGACCCTGGCTTTAAGATTCTGAATATTACACTGACAAACAGTAAGTGGAAAGGCGGTGGAGGGAAAGGCACATTACGGCAAGAAAGACAGTGGAAGGCAACTGACCATGTCATGTTCACGTGTGTGTTGCTGCATGCGAGCACGGTGACTGGCAGAGTGTGTGTCCAGGAAGAGGTGCAGCAGCAGTGGCAGGCGCAGCGCGGAGCACGTGAGAGTCATGCCCACAGCACTCCAGTGCAGCCCTCCCACAGCACCGCCCTCACCACTTCGCACGTCTGCCTCCCCGTCGCCTCCCCTTCCCGCATCACCCTCACCCTCGCCCACGTGCCCACGCCTCCCTGCACTCACACCATCCACTCCCCCTGCTTCTTCCCCCCCTCCGCCCGCTAACTCCCCCAAATGGCCCTTGGGCGGCAGCAGCATGTGGGCGCGGGCGAGGAGGCGCAGGAGGGGCAACGGGTGGCGCCAGTGGGCGGCCAGCAGCACTCCCTGCGCCGCCAGCTGCTCCTCCAACGCCCTGCGCATCAAACCACTGCTGCCCCTGCCATCCGCACTGCCCCCTGCCCCGTCCGCCTTCGCACACTCCGCCCTGAGCAAGGCTGTGGTTGGTTCGAGCACTGCTGCTGCCAACACCACTGGCACGCGCATGCAGGGGCGTGTGGGGGCGGTGGAGGTGGTAAGGGAGTGATGCGGAGGGCGGTGCAAGGCAGCAGTGATGGGCGAGCGGGCGAGGGCGGTGGGAGGGAGGGCGTGCAGGGTGGAGGAGAGGAGGGCAGGGAGGTGGTGGCGCAGGGACAAGGAGAGCAGAGCCTCCCACGCCACCAGTGATGCAGGCGAGGGTGGTGGAGAAGCGGGCAGTGACGGTGGGATGTGCAGGCGGTGCGTGGCTAGCATGTGATGCAGGGCCGTGAGTGGGGACGAGAGGTCCGAGGAGGAAGTAGTTGGCGAACAAGAGGAGGAGGAAACGGAGGGAGTGGGAGACGAGGCGAGGAGAGCTCCTTCTGCCAGCACCTGCAATGGCCGGGGAGAAAGAGGGGGAGAGCTAGGTGACCCATGCAGTACTTGCGTGAGTGTCATGTCACATGCAACGATAAGGGTGGAGCAATAGAAGTGGGGAATGTAGCGGCTTAAGTGCAGGCGAAGGCAAGGACAAAGTGAACGCGAGCAACTTGAGCGGAGTGAGTGCGCATGGTGCATGGAGGAAGGTGTGCCGTGCTGACCTGCAGCAGCAGAGCAGAGTCCCAGTGCTGCACCCATGCTGTCGCCACACACGCAAACCCGTGCCACACCACAACGCTCAAACCATCACCTGCCTTCACCCCGCTCTGCTCCTCATCACCCACCCCCTCTGCGTCCATCGTCTCCTTCTCCCCACCCTCTGCACCTTCGCCCCACGCCTCCACGCCCTGCCTCCCCCCCTGCCCTCCCTGTGCGGGCACCAGTGCCACCAGGCTGCCCCAACTGCCTCCAATCACCCCCCCACCACACTCCCCACACTGCACACCCCCTACACCCACCTCCACTCTCCTCCCCGCCCCACCATCCGCCCCACGCTCATCCACCCCATCCTCCCCACCAGCGTCTGCCACCCCTTGACCCACTGTGTGACATGCTCCCCCTGCGCCCCTTACGTCCACGCCTGCATGCCCCTCCTCAGGTGCGGAGTCTGGAGCAGTGCCAGGGAGGGCACTGGGTGCGGCGCACATGGCAGGGCGGGGTTGCAGTGAGGCGGGGGCAGAGGCACGGTGCAGGCGATATGCGGAGGTGAAGGATCGCAGGGGGTACATGTCCTGGAGGAGGGTGGGCGGGAGTGGCGACAAGGGGTTTCAAGAGAAGCGCAAGAGAATGAGGCCATGGCAATGGGGCATCAAGTGGCCAGCTGTCCATGGGTGAGTGGCGATACTGGGGCGCCTCAGAACATGCACAGGTGGTGGCAAGTGGTTGAGTAGTTCAGAATGGTGGGCAGTTACCTGGATGGCCTGAGTAGAGGCGAGGGAGTGCAGGAGGGGGGGCGGCAGCAGGTGGTGGAGGTGCAGGTAGTGTGAGAGCACGTGGCGCAGGTGGGAGGAGAAGGAGCGCAGCAGCAGGTCCAGCAGCGACGCATGCACGTGAGCGCCCAGGCGCAGCAGCACCTGCGCTGCCATGCCCGCATGCCCCTGCCATAGGAACGCCAGCGCCAGCCTGCGCCCCTCCACCTGCACCACATGCTCCGCCTCCTCCCTGCCCGCCTGCCCCGCCTCCTGCTGCCCTGCTTCCCTCCAATCCGCGTCTGCTTCTGTCCTTCCCTCCTCTCTTGCTTCTGTGTCACCCTCCTCTTCCTCCACCGCCATGTGTTGCTCACCACCTGCGCCCTCGAGGCGGGGCTGCTGTGTGCGTGGGGGGTGCAGCAGGCGGTGGTGCAGGAAGGCGGTGGCGAGGGGCAGGCGGCAGGAGGCGATGGCGTCACACACCACGACCTGCGAGGGGCTCTGCTGCTGCTGCCATCGCTGCAGCATTGCCCGCACACTCTCCTGCTCGCCCCCCTCCATCCATGCCCGCATTGGCGCGCTGTGAGGGGACAGCACTGCAAGCTGGTGGGGGAGAATGTCCACGGCGGGTGCAGCGGTGGGCGGTGGTGGCAGGGCGAGCGGCTGGGCAGAGCGCGTGGTGAGGGTGGTGGGTTGGTTGGGCGGTTGCGAGGAGAAGAGAGAGGAGGGGACTGAAAGCTGATCGTGGGTTGAGCGGGGCAAGGGGAAGGAGGGCGGAAGGTGGGGAAGAGGCAAGCGGGAGTAAAGGGGTCCAGATGGAAGCACCGCCTGCATGGTGGGAGGGAGGGGTTCCAACAAGGGAGACAAGGCAAGTGCATGAGTGCACAACGGGTTGCATGGCACACAAGGACCTTGCTCTCACTGGCACATGCCCATGCACATGGCACCCATCGCCCCTGCATGGTGCCGCTCGGCCTCACCTGTGGGCCATGCGCCACAGCGAGAGCATGCGGGGCGGACAGCAGCAGCATCCCTGACTGTCTGTCCGCGCCACCCCCTCCTCCTCCTGCCACTGCACCACCACTCTCTGCAGCGCCGCCTGCAGGGCTGCTGGGGGCAGCAGTGGCGGCGGAGGGAGCAGCATGGTGGGAAGCAAGGCGAGTGGCGGCGGTGTGCAGGCGGCGCAGGGTGAGCAGCACGTCAGACAGCGCCTCCATGCTCGCCCTCTGCACCGCCTGCTCCTCACTCCCCGCCTCCCCCTCTTGCTGCCTCCGCTGCCCTCCCCCTTTTCCCTTCTCGGCCCTGCCCACACCCGTGTGCCTGCCTGCTGGTGTGCGTGGCCTAAGAGTGGAGTGGGGGCGGCGGGCCCTGTGGGGCGAGGCGGGCGCGGTGTGGTAGTGCAGGAGGAGCGCCTGCAGCAGAGCACGGATGGCGTGGGCCAGCAGACTGGAGGGGACGAGCACAAGGGAGAGGCAGGTGAGCAATGAGCAAAGTACTGGATTGCAGTGACGAGGGCTGGCAGCATGCCGTGTGGCAGCAGCGGAAATCCGTGCCCCAGGGAGGCGACAACAGGCCATGCACGTGCGTATGGTTGCGTATGGGTGCGAGCAGGGGCGCATACCTGGAGGTGTATCTGGCGTGAGAGCGCGAGAAGCGAGCGAGGGGGAGGTGCGCGATGAGGTAGGAGAGCAGGCAGTGGAAGGCCTTCACTTGCAGGGGGGCACTGATGCCGTGCAACAGGAAGAGCAGCCTGCACGCACACACACGCACAGAGAGAAAGAGTCCGGAACCAGGGTGATGATGAGTGGTGAAGACACACAGACGAATGGGCAAAAAACAGCAGCTCATTGGGGACAAGAACGGAAGTGTGGGTTGCAGCAGAAGTGATGCACCTGACAACGGAGGGTGCAGGGCACATGAGGTCGAGGCAGAGGCGCACATGCTGCAACACAAGACACGAGTCCGGCCAGCCTGCACGGCAGCACACACACACAGCGGACACACGCAATGTGAGTCCATGGACAGGATGTGCCTCAGAAAGCAGGGTGCTGGCGTGCTGAAACAGCAAGAAGAGCAGGGTTGGTACCATTGGCGTGTGCAGTGTGGTGCAGCAGGGAGAGGAAGGCAGTGCCGCCCAGGTCCTCCCTGTTCATCACATCGCCCTCTATTGCCATCACCGCCCCCATCGCCTCACTCACACTGCACACCCACGCCTCCTCCTGCCTCTCCGCCCCCACCCACCTCTCCACCACACCACTCCCCCCCACCACCACACTTGCAAAATGTCCTCTCCGCACCCTCACTCCCCCCTCCCCCTGCTTGCCCCCACAACAAGGTGTTGGGGAGAAAACACCTTCCAACTGCAGGGCTGCCACAGTGGGGTTCACTCTAAGATCAGTGGCAGGTGGGGGTGAGGGGAGGCACGAGCGGGGCAGGTGGCACATGGGGAAGAGGGGTGCGGACGACGTGAGGTGCAGGGGCGAGGGCGGGCGGGCGGGGAGGAGGAGGAGCAGGCGGTCGTTGGAGAGACAGAGCAGGCGGTGGCAGGAGAGCAGTGGCAGCGCGGAGGAGGGCAGCGAGAGAGACGGCAGGGCGGGTTCAAGAGGGGTGTGGGTGATGGGCGCGTGGTTGTGGGGGATGGCAAGAGGGAAGGAATAGACAGCAACACGTGCCTTTGGTGCTGGACAGGTTGCATCGGCGGCAGGGTGAGGAGCAGCGTGTGGGAGGGAATGGTGGGGCGTGTGGGGCGAGTGCAGCACGGCCACTGTGAGCACAGCAGTGCTGCCCTCCCCCGGGCCTGGCCTGTCTGCATGCACGAGCCCCAGCAGCAGGCGGCCTGATGCCAGAGGACTGCACAGCAGCACAGGGCGCATGGAGGGGGCGAGAGGTGCAGGAAGAGGCGGTGGCGCAGGCAGCAAGGCTGTGAGAACGAAGCCTGTGGTGGTGACGACACACAGCAACGAGCCCTGCCACCCCAGCACCAAACCCACCACGTCACCCATCCCACCCGCCGCCACGCCAAGAGAACAGTGCGTGTCATCCATGGGCGGGTAGCTGTGGCTGCTCTCACTGCTGCGGCTGCTCTCACTGCTGCGGCTGCTTGCACACGCATCAGCGCCATGCGGGTGGAGTGCATGGGGAGGGGCAGAGGCGAGAGTGGGCGCAAGAGGCGTGGGCCCGGCGGGGGTGAGGAGCAGGGAGTGCAGGGGGCGGCCAGAGGCAGCACTCCACGTGAAAGCAGCGCCACATGGCTGCACGGCGCACAGCACGGCGCCCTGCAGCTTCACGGCACTCCACATGGCGCCCGCCCCATGCTGTGCGCCCGTGACCGCGTGCAGGTGGATGCAGCACTGCACGCGCACCACAGCACCCGCCCTGCGCCCCTGCTCTCCCTGCACCCCGCGCCACAGCTCTCCCACCATACCCCCAGCATCTCTCTGTGCCCCTTGCCATCCGTTGTCAGCGCTGGCTCCCCCTGCCACACCCAGCACAAGCACGCTGCTGTGTGCTGGCAGGGGGACTTGGCAGCGCAGCGCGGAGGGCGAGAGGCACATGTGCGAGTATGCTTGGCGCGACGTGAGCAGCAACGCGAGGTGCGAGGCATGCGGATCGGATTCCACCCCCACCGCCACCACCTGCTCCACCGCGCACCCCCACGCCCCGCCCTCACTCCCACTCTCCTGCATGCTCGCCTCTCCGCTGCTATGCGCCTGCTCTCTGTCGTCTCCGCCCGCCGCCAAGGTGCCACAGGCGGCCAGCAGGCTGTGCCAGGGCGCGGAATCGAAGTGTGCATGCCACGCGCTCATGCTGAACCCCATGCGCGCGCCCGCGCCCATGCTCATGTGCGCTGCCGCCTCCCCTCCCCCCGCCAACTGCTCCCATCTGCCAGTTTCCCCCGCGCCATCTGCTGCGCCACCCGCCAGATCCAGCGCATCGTTGGCACCGCGCGCGGAGGAGGATTCGTGCGCGCCCCCCGGCCAGAACACCACTCGCACGCCCGCCCTGCCGCCGGACACGCGCCTGGCCTGCACTGACGCAGTCGGTATAGGACTCCCCGACAAGGGGCTCGTGTCAGCTCTTATCGCGTACAGCGACACACGGCGGGGCCTAAGCAGCACGAGAATCCGATCATGCGACTGGCCCTGATCGCACGGCTCGCCCGGCTGCTGTCGCGGGCACAGCCATGCGACGCGGCGATGGTACGAGGGCGCGTGAGGAGGGGCATCTGTGCCTGGCGGGTCGGCGCGATCACGAAAGAGGACGTGGGTGGTGGCAGCAGCAGGGCGCACGGGGCTGCCGAGAGCGCATACAGCAACATCGCCGCACGGCAGGAGCGCCGCTAGCAGCCTGAGGTCCGCGGACACGTCGGCCGACACGACGCTCGCCCCGGCTATGTCCGACGGGAAACGGGCGAGACTCAAAGTGGCCATGGCGAGGCGGTGAGAACACGAGTGACGGAAGGTGATAATGGAGACATGGAGAGGAGAACAGAGGAGCTAGCGCCCGGAATTGGAAAAATCAACATGGGAAATTGATTGGAAACGCGCTGCTGGATTTGGAGAATAAGATGCTACTAGACTGCGTGATGGACAGACCAGTGTGTGGTGCAGCCCGCCATACAAATTCGAGGATGTGGCATGGGAAGGCAGGCTGGCCTGGAGGAGAGTTGTGTTGAGCCTGAAAGGCGAAACGCAACTTCTATCATGATTTGCCAAGATTTAACGGTAACACGGGGTAAGTGTTACGAGTGAGCTAGGCTTGCAGTAAGGGTCAAGAAAAGTACAACGGTGAACTAGTGAAGGTGCAGAAAAATAAACTAAATCCTTACTGCGCACCTGACCTCACCGCGTACAACACTGTTCGCGGGCTCGATCATTCTTCGCCAGATACCACTTAAAGCCAGGATCTCAAGTAAGAGAATTTGGCATCAATTGCAAAACAATTGACGCTACCCTGTTTGCGTGGGCGAAGTGGAGTGACGGGTTTGGGGTTGACTGTGAGACACAATCCCCGTTTTGCCCCTGCTTCAATTGCAAAACAAATTGCTGGGGACTTGAGACTTTCGGGAATCTGAAACATTCGCTGTTATTGTCAGAAGCCTAGCTAGAACTTAGTAGCCATAGCTAGAGTTTAGGGTATACGAAAGAGAAATGGAAGGAGGATTGAACTAGAAAGGAGAGGGATACAAATAGCAAGCCCAAAAGGGTTATACTCACTATTGAGTACCCCACTACAGACTAAACAAGCATAATATTCTGACACACCCCCATAGTCAAAGTGGGGTATAATCAGCACAGCAAGCAGTCATAGAGCAGGTTCACAAGGACAAGCAAAACTAGAGGCATTCACAGAGGGCAAGTGAGGAGGAGGAGGAGGGAATGTGAGAGGAGAGGAGATAGGAGGCGACGACGGAAGCTGCAGACACATGGTAGCGGCTGGCTCAGTGGCTACCGAAGCAAAGGCCCGGACTACAGGAGTAACTGGCTCCGCGGCTACGCCGAGCGGCTAGAGCAACTGACCCACGGGCGACTGGCGACTACCGGAGATTGTAGCCTCCGGACTACTGGCGCTGCTGGCAACACCACGGCTCAACCTCTGCTCAACCTCCCCCAACTGTCCCACCCCCCTTTCATACACCCCTTGCTGCACCCCTAGCTCCACTCCCATGTCACCCCCCTAGCACCACTCCCTCGGCTCCCACACACCAACCCCCCTCAGCGGTAGGTGCAGCAGTGGGAGACGGAGGAGGAGGAGGAGCAGGGGACGGTCACACACTCGCCACCCCCATACCCGCCACCCCCATACCCCAAACGCAGGTGGCGCAGGGCAGAAACGGGGGCAGTAGATGGGGCAGCGGGCGAGCGGAAGCGGGGCGGCGCGCTGGTCCCTGGGGCGCCTCGACGGGCGACGATAGGGGGCGACGCGCGGGCCCCCGGGGCGCCACGATGGGCGACGGGAGGGGGCGACGCGCGGGCCCCCGGGGCGCCTCGACGGGCGACGGGAGGGGGCGACGCGCGGGTCCCCGAGGGCGCCACGACGGACGACGGGGGGGGGAGCGCGCGGATCCCCGAGGGCACCGCGACGAACGACGGGGGGAGCCCGCGGGTCCCCGGGGGCGGACGACGGGGGGGGGGGAGCGCGCGGGACGGTGCACGAAACCGCCGCGCGCTCCCGGGGCGCACGGCGGGCAAGAAACCGCCGCGCGCCTCGGGGCGCACGGCGGGCAGAAAACCGCCGTGCGCCCCGAGCGCGCGGTGGGCAGAAAACCGCCATGCGCCCCGAGCGCGTGGCGGGAAGAAGAAAAAAAAAACGTCGCACGCCACGGGGCGCGCGACAGACAGGACAGCAGCGGAAGCAGGTGGGCCCACATGCCAAGAGCGTACTCGCTCTGATAGCATGTCAGAAGCCTAGCTAGAACTTAGTAGCCATAGCTAGGGTTTAGGGTACACGAAAGAGAAATGGAAGGAGGATTGAACTAGAAAGGAGAGGGATACAAATAGCAAGCCCAAAAGGGTTATACTAACTATTGAGTACCCCACTACAGACTAAACAAGCATAATATTCTGACAGTTATTTTAGCTTCGGCCCCGAACCAGTTTCCGTGCCTAGATGGTTCAGAAACAACCAGCGACTTGTTTTCTCCTGGCACCCCTCGCTTTACTCCTCGTCATCTTATGTACCTCGCCATCCAATCCCAGCCTAGCACTATTCACCAACTGCAAACCAAATGAAGTACTTGAGATTCTGGCTTTAACGGTGATCACCACCAAGCGTGCAATTTTTACCAAACATTGCACGGCTATATAAGGCCGAATCTACCTTCACCCCGGTATTAGCCTTAACCTCGCTGCTATCTCTGCATAGGCTAGCACCAGGGCTCTCGTTATTAGTGTAGTTTACACTGCTATACTGATTATAAGGGTGAAATTTGTCAGAGGTCCACTGGAGATCCCCGATTGATTCTAGGGAAGGGTTACACGCACGTCGGCCTGGGGGGTTATGGGCGCACCCACCCGCTACACAATCAAGCCCTTTTATCCCAGTGGTTGGTGGCTGGGATTCTGACATGGTATCAGAGCGAAGGTCTCGGGTTCGAATCCCGGTGTGTGCACCTCGGGCATCCCAGTGCGGGGGGGGGGTGTCAGAGGTCCACTGGAGATCCCCGATTGATCCTAGGGAAGGGTTACAGGCACGTCGGCCTGGGGGGTTATGGGCGCACTCACCCTCTACACAAACAAGCTTTTTTATCCCAGTGGTTAGTGGCTGGGATTCTGACAAAATTTAGGGCCTGCACTGATGGGTGTGGGTAATTTTTTGGGGGATTAGTGTTACACTGATATGTCAGTGTCGATTTAGGCCACACTGATGCTCTGGGGTAATTTTCCCATAGCGAAGATTACCCTGAAGAGCGTACAGGGAACCACCCAACCCCCCCCCCCCCCCCCCCCCCCCCTTCCTCGGAAACTCTACTTATCGAGACGAAGTTTCCTAGAAATTTCGTAACGATACACCCAATTTCGTTATGATGCACTACGACGCCAGCACGTAAGTACTGACAACCGACACCGCGTCACTCCACTTGCAACCTACCCGTTACTGTAGAGGCGATGCAACCTGATCGGTCGAAGCTGCACTCACTGCAAAAAAACAAGTGTTGCAGCGAAACCGGACAAGCCACTGAGTTCACAACCCCCACCCACCACTCTTGCGCAATTTGGGCCTCGAGCTTGGTTGCTTGGTTGATGTCAGCACTGCCTACAGTACAATCAGGGTAAAAAAAATACCAACACAGATGCCTCTGGGTAAAGTTTTCAAAACTTCAAGTTACACTGATCCATCAATGTTTCTAAAAAGGCCACACTGCTCAGAAGGGTTTTGAAAATGTCTACATTGCTAATCGTGAGTAGGAAAAATCCTAATCTAAGCCATGGCTAGCTGTCAAATCATATTTATAAATTTGCTAGTAGTTATGCTAGGCTATAGTGAGGTACATATTATAGAGTACTGAATGTTGATATAATCTGGGAATCGAAGTGGACAAGATAAGACTGCTAAATTATAGGAAGAAAATGAAGACTTGAAGTGACCTTGTTAATAATAGTTGAAAGAAAACAAGACGATTATAAGATAGAGATACAAGGGTATAAATAGCCATCTAGCTAGCCATACACTCTGATGGGTATATTCCCTTATTAACTGTATTACATAGCCACAGTAACTGCGACTATTGCATTTCTTGACAGTTACCATGCTGCATCGCGTAACCTTTTATACGGTTGCTGGACGGTCAACAGTCGCGACCGTTGACTTACCAGCGACTGTTCACCTTCGGGTGACTCTCGAGCTGCTGCATGCTCTATATGAGCTATTGCGGTACTGGTACAGTAGCACTGCTTTGCTAATACGTGGTGCGCTAGGAAAGAGCCTTCAGGAATGCTATAATGACCTTTTTGGTTATTCCAATACTCCCCCTTCATTCCTGAAGGTGAGCCACGTGGGATTTCTTCGAGATCCCGTAGAGGTCAGTGTCAGAATCACTGTGCAGGAATGAATGAACTATGAATGAGTTGGGTACAAGTACTAACCCTAAAGTGTGGTACCCCTTGTAGGCTAACCCATTATAGCCTAGAGACAATACAAATATATGGTTTGACACACCCCCATAGGCTAAGTGGGAGATAGCAAACACAACAGAAGGTCACAAGACCAATCAAGCAAGAGAACAAGCAGAGCAAAGCTCAGGGTGGATCACAAGGTCACCACGCATTCTGAGCACAAGTTCGCGGCCACAAGACCAGTTCACATGCAGAGTTATAAAAGCACAAGCAGTATTGTGATCACGGCCTAGCAAGAGCAAGCATGCAGGTATATATGTATATATATATATATATATATATATATATCACGGTACAAGACAAGTCAAGCAACCAGCAGGTGAGGCAGAGTGGGCACAAGCCCAAGAGCAGTGCAGAAACGCTGATGATCACCAGACCCAAGGGCCTTGGTGAAGACATCAGTAGTGTTGGCCCGAGAGGCCACGTAAGCAAGTCGCAGCTGACCATATTGCTGCAACTCACACGCAAGGAAGTAGCGAAGAGCAATGTGCTTCGTTCTGTGCTCCAGTCTCAGCTCGCGACACAAGGCAAGCATTGCCTTGCTGTCAACGTACAGAACTGGAGGAGAACGAGGCCGCTCCCCCAAGTCGGTCAGCAGGTAGGTCAGCCAGCGTAGCTCCTGTGCAGCCATGGCCCCACCGTAGATCTCAGCCTCGCAGCTGGAGCTAAGCACAGAAGAAGAACGAGTGGACCTCCACGAGACAGAACCAGAGCCAAGACTGAAGGTGTAACCCTGTGACGAACGCTGAGTCGCCTGGTCGTTGGCCCAAGAAGCGTCGGAGTGTCCTGTGAGGACCACTGAACCCCGTCCTCCAAGCACGAGCCCCATGCTCGATGTACTGCACAAGTAACGCAGTACCCTCTTCGCATCATCAAAGTGCACCTTTCGGTGTCTACCAGGTGCCACGTAGCCAGCCAGGAGGCTGAGAGGGTACGTGAGGTCAGGTCGTGTGCAAGTCATCAGGTACATGAGGCAACCCACAAGCTCTGGGTACGGACCACTCGGCTCTACGGACTCGTCCGAAGGTGGAGCTGAGAGCGAGTGACCGGTAGACAGAGGAGTGGGCTGTGGCGAGGAGTACTGGAAGCGAAAGCGTTGGAGGACCTGGTGCACCATGTGTGACTGAGTCGGAGTGATGGTGCGCCGTGCTCTGTCCCGGGTGATCTGCAAGCCAAGATAGCTCCGCAGCTCACCCAGGTCAGTGCAGGTGTGTCTCTCCTGCAGCTCTGCCTTCACTAGGGCCAGCACCTCTGTGTCGGCAGTAGCAATGACCAAGTCGTCGACGTACACGAGAACGTTGAATGGCAGCAGGGTAGTGTCGGTGCGGAGAAACAACGACGGGTCAGCAGTCGAAGGAGCAAATCCAATACCCGCAAGCGTCGTCCTTAGTGTGTCGTGCCACTCGTGAGGTGCCTGACGGAGGCCGTACACTGGTCACCGTAGGCTCCACTGGGTACCCTCAGGAAACGACCCAGTGAAGCCAGGTGGACGGCGCAGCCAGATGGCCTCATGAAGGCTACCCTGCAAGAAAGTTGTCGAGCAATCGAGGGAGTGTAGCTCGTAGTCACGCTGAGCAGCAACGTGTAGCAACACTCGAAGAGTGGTCATCTTCGGGGTGGGGGAGAAAGTCTGAAAGAAGTCGACCCCCTCACGGTGACGTCATGAAATCTGCCGCCATATCACCGGTTGGGCAGTACGTGAGTTTGACCTTGCCCTTGTCAATCTCGTCCTTGATGAAGAAGTAACGGAGTGTGATGTGTTTCGTGCGGTTCACGAAGCCGGGCTTGTTCGCGATTTTGATTGCGCTCTGGCTGTCACAGAGTAACGTGAAGTGCCTATTCATCGTCAATTTCGCTTCTCGCAGGAGCTCCATTAGGTATAGTCCTTCGTAAACACCTGCACCGGTGGCGATGAACTCGGCTTCAGCTGACGAAAGAGCAATGAGTTCTTGCTTCTGGCAGTTCCAGTAGATGAGTTCAGCAGGTTGGAGTTGAAAAACAAAACATGTGTGAGAGGGTCTGTTGTCAGCATCTCCCGCATGGTCAGCGTCTACGGAGCTGTGAAGTTGCAGGGTAGCAGTTAAGTTAGCTTCCTAGGTGAGTCCGACGTCGGGGGTAGAGACGAAGTATTGAAGTGCTCGGCGTAGGTCTAGTAGATTCTCCCCTTCAGTTCGGCGCAGGTACTGTGCGAGCTGGCTTTCAACGTACGAGAGATCTAGCCCGCACGTGACGGCGGCAAATAGGAGACACCCCAGCTGGTGCTGATAGAGTTGATGGTCTTCGATGGAGAGCGGCGTGGTGTCGGGTTCGTGATTAGGAGGAGTGCGAAAAGGGGTGGTAAGGTTGATTGGGGCGATTGCGAATTTTTTCGAAAGTGTTTCCGCGTACTTGGCAACGGAGAGGTGGATGGAGGTGGCGGACTGAGTAATGTTGAGACCCAGGAATTGCTTGACGTAGTGGTTAATCATCACCTCGAGCTTTTCCTTGATGTCCTTCTCGAACCGGTCGAGCAGCTCCTGTCAAAACATATATGCTTATGTGTTTTAGGCTATATAAGTGTAAGCACTAGGGGGTACAAAAATTCTCTTGATGTTCTTCTTGTACCCCTCCCCCTTGACCTAATCACCACCTATTCTCCTTAGTCTCGACATGGTATAGAGCAGGTCCTTAGGACCGTTTTTTTAGGGCCCACCGCCTAAAAAATAAATCCTGCCCGAAATTCTGCCCTTCCCCGTGCCTTCCTGCTGCCCTGCCCTACCGCGTGCAGTCCGTTTCGCCCGCGCCAGGCCCGTTTAGCCCGCGAGCCGCCCGCGCGTAGCCCGTATAGCCCGCGCGCCGCCCTTGCGTAGCCCATACAGCCCGCACGCCACCTGCGCGCAGCCCTTACAGCCCGCGCAAGGCCCGCACGCAGCCCGTACGGCCCGCGCCAGGCCCGCACGCAGCCCATACAGACCGCGCCAGGCCCGCGCGCAGCCAGTATAGCCCGCACCAGGCCCGCGTGCAGTCCTTACAGCCCGCGCCAGGCCCGTGCGCACCTGGCCTGCCGCCCGCGCACCTGCACTAGCCCTGCACCTCGCCGGCCCGCTGTTCCTGCTGCTCTACTGATACTGCACTGCTGCCATTGCCCTGCACAGTGTTGTGCCAGCAAGCGCGACTGCCCTGCCCTGCCTGCATATATGAGCTCTGCCCTGTGCACTTGCCCTGCTCCGCGCTGCTGCTCTGCACGCGCGGCTGCCCTGCCTTGCCCCGCACTATTGCACTGCTCGTCACGTGCCCCTGCCTGCACGCCGCCCTGCCCTGCCTGAGCGCTGCAAACAGCCGCGCCACCCTGCCCTGCTGACTGCCGCCCTGCCCTGCTCTGCATGCAAGCCGCCTTGCTGGCCACCGCCCTGCTTTGCCCTACCTGCGTGCTGCCCTGCTGCTAGCGCGCCCTACTGCTCTGCCCGCTATGGCCACTCTCAGTGTACTTCCGTTCGATGCAGAGGGCCGTCCGATACAGTTCGACGCGTGGCTAGATGACCTGCAGCTGTACTTACTGAGCAATTCTAGGGATGGTGTCTCACTGTTTGACCTCATGTTTGGCGCCTCTCTCGCCCCTCCCAACACAGCTGACAGTGCGATTCGCTCACAGTGGCTTACCCGTGATGCTGCTGCTCGCCTAGCCGTTCGCAACCACCTGCCGTTAGCTGGGCGTGCTCACTTTGGCCAGCACAAGATTGCTAGAGCCCTGTACGATGCTGTAGTCGCTCGTTACTCCTCCCCGGCCACTGCTGTTCTAGGCCGTCTTATACTGCCCTACCTGTTCCCAGAGGTGTCCGCCTTTGCTGCAGTCGCCGACCTCGTCACTCACCTTCGCACTAGTGACGTCCGCTACCGAGCCGCGCTTCCCGCCGAGTTTCTAGCCAAGAACCCTCCTCCCATGTACATCACGCTCTACTGCATCGTCACCTGCCTCCCTAACTCTCTTAGCGCAGTCATGGACCTCCTTCTCGCCCTTGACCCCACAGCCCTCACTGTCGACTTGCTCGAGAAGCACCTCCTTGCAGCTGAGACTAGCATAGTCGCTGTAGGCGCTTCTCGTGGCACTCCTCACACTCCCTTCTTTGAGGGGTGTTCCCCCTCCCCCCTTGTCCCCTCTATCGCTTCTGCTGCTGCTGTTGACTTCCTTCGTGCTGAGGAGGTCAGGGCTGCGTCTGCTCCTAGTGGGAGGCGCCGCAGCGGCAGGGGCAAGGGAGGCCAGGGTGGTGGGGGTGGGAGCGGTGGAGGCGGTGGTGGGGGCGGTGGAGGCGGTGGAGGTGGCGGTGGTGGCGGAGGGAGTGGTGGTGGGAGTGGAGGTGTTGGTGGCGGTGGTGGTGGCGGCGGTGGTGGCGGCAGTGGGGGTGGTGGCGGCGGCAGTGGTGGCGGCAGTGGGAGTGGTGGCGGTAGCAGTGGTGGCGGTCGGGGTGGAGCTGGTCAGAGGGGAGGTTTTGGCGGTGGCCAGAGGCAGCAGCAGCAGCGTCCGAGCGAGACCCCTTCGCCCCAGCAGCTTCGTGAGTGGTTTGCTCAGCGTGGGGCGTCTGGGGGTAGTGGTCGCTGCCCGTATGTCATTCGCACAGGTGTCCGCACTGGTCAGACATGCGGGAAGCTTCATACCCAGTACCGCTGCTTCTCCCGTCTTGACGACGCCTTTCGCGCAGAGTTTCCCGACGCGACTGAGCTCCCCCGCTGGGCAGAGCTACCTAGGCAGGGTGTTGATATCTTTGCTCTTGACAATGATGCTATCCTTGCTGCCATCTATGCATTGACTATTAGTGCTGAGGGTGACTGTTACTTGTGTATGCCGCCCGACCCGGGTATAGAGGCTGCTGCTTTAAGTGCTAGTGAGTCCTCTCTCCCTGGTACTGCACCTGCTGAGGCCTTGCACACCTTCACGCTTGACTCAGGTGCTTCCCACTGTTTCTTTCGCGACAGTACCACAGTCACACCACTCCCTGCACCTGTTGCTGTCAAACTGGCTGACCCCTCAGGGGGGCCAGTTCTTGCACGTTCCTCCACTATTCTCCCGTGTTCAGCGGTTCCGTCTGGCTCACTCTCAGGTCTTCACCTCCCCTCGTTCTCGACGAACTTGGTGAGTACAGCTGCCCTTCAGGATGCGATGGTCACTACCACCACTCCTGGGGGTCATCGTGTGTCGATCTGCACGTGTACACGGACGGCCTGTCACCTGGCCACGTTCACCCGTCGGCCTGGGTCGAGTCTGTACACACTGACTACTGAGCCTCCTCAGGTAGCTGCGTCAGCGTCCGCATCAGGTCCACTTGCAGCCCCTTGCTCGTGTCGAGCCCTGTCGCACCAGACTCTCCTTTGGCACCACCGCCTTGGTCACCCCTCCCTGCCACGCCTCCGCGGCATGCACTCCCGTCTCCTTGTCTCTGGTCTTCCCAGGTCTCTCCCTGCCCTCCCGCGCTCGCCTGCTCCGCTCTGCCTTCCTTGCGTCGAGGGGCGGCAGCGCGCCGCTCCTCACTCCTCCTTGTTTCCCCCGACAGAGGCTCCCCTGCAGACTATTCACATGGACGTGTGGGGCCCAGCCCACGTCCGTGGACAGGGCCGCGAGCGGTACTCTCTGCTGATTGTTGACGACTACTCGCGTTACACCACAGCCTTCCCCTTGCGCAGCAAAGGGGAGGTCTCTGATGTTTTGATCCCTGTTTTGAGTCTGTACACACTGACTACTGAGCCTCCTCAGGTAGCTGCATCAGCGTCCGCGTCAGGTCCGCTTGCAGCCCCTTGCTCGTGTCGAGCCCTGTCGCACCAGACTCTCATTTGGCACCACCGCCTTGGTCACCCCTCCCTGCCACGCCTCCGTGGCATGCACTCCCGTCTCCTTGTCTTTGGTCTTCCCAGGTCTCTCCCTGCCCTCCCGCACTCGCCTGCTCTGCTCTGCCTTCCTTGCGTCGAGGGGCGGCAGCGCGCTGCTCCTCACTCCTCCTCGTTTCCCTCGACAGAGGCTCCCCTGCAGACTCTTCACATGGACGTGTGGGGCCCATCCCGCATCCGTGGACAGGGCCGCGAGCAGTACTTTCTGCTGGTTGTTGACGACTACCTCGCGTTACACTTTTGATCCCTAGGATCCGCGCTGTCCGTCTCCAGCTCCGCGAGCGGTTCGAGACGGACCTTCCTGTCTTGCGTCGGCACTCTGATAGAGGTGGTGAGTTTGCCTCCGACCCCTTGCAGGACTTCTGTCGTGGGGAGGCCATTCGCCAGACATTCACGCTTCCGGCCTCTCCGCAGCAGAATGGGGTTGCTGAGCACCGCATTGCCTTAGTCATGGAGGTCGCTCGTACCTCCATGATCCATGCAGCTGCCCCCCATTTTCTGTGGTTGTTTGTGGTCTGGCACGCTGCGCATCACCTCAACCTCTGGCCCCGTGTCTCCTTGCCGGAGACCTCACCGACACTGCGTTGGACGGGAGAGGTTGGCGATGCGTCAGTGTTCCGGGTCTGGGGATCTCGTGCCTTTGTCCGCGATACTTCCGTGGACAAGCTCTCCTCCCGCGCCATTCCCTGTGTCTTCCTTGGCTTTCCCCCTGACGCGCCTGGATGGCAGTTTTACCACCCCACCTCGCGTCGTGTCCTGCCCTCTCAGGACGTCACGTTTGACGAGTCGGTTCCCTTTTACCGTCTCTTCCCCTACCGCACTACCCCTCTCCCCCCCCTCGCCGCTCTTCCTCGCACCAGGTCCTCCTCTGGTAGACCCCCTCCCCCCTCAGGGTCCTGCTCCCTTAGGTGTGTCCCAGGTAGACCCTGTCGAGCTTGTCGAGGTAGCTGTTGACTCTGGTGCTGCTAGGGGTGCTGCGTCTCGGGGTGCTGAGCCTGCGGGTGCGGGGCCTAGGGGTGCTGAGCCTGAGCGTGCGGAGCCTGGGGGTGCTGAGCCTGGGGTTGCAGAGTCTGACGGTGCGGAGCCTGGGGGTGCTGAGCCTGAGCGTGCAGAGCCTGGAGGTGCTGAGCCTGAGCGTGCTGAGCCTGGAGGTACTTTGTCTGCTGGTAGTCCCCCGGGTGCCTCGTCACGGAGGGAGCCCCTCTCTCCACAGCAGCTGCGCGAGTGGTTTTCTCGGCGCTGGAGCCTTTGGAGTGGCGCTGCTGGAGTTGGGAGTCCTGCCACTGGAGACCCTGGAGCTGGAGGCACTGGAGCTGGAGGTACCGGAGGTGCTGGAGCTGCTAGTCCCGGAGGTGCTCGTACTGGAGGTACTAGAGCTGCTGGAGCTAGTGGCACTGCAGGCACTGGAGCTGGGAACCCTGGAGCTGGAGGTGCTGGAGCCGTTGGTCCCGGAGGTGCTCGTACTGGAGGCGCTGGAGCTGCTGGGGGTGCTGAAGCTGCTGGTCCTGGAGGTGCTGGAGGTGCTGGAGTTGCTGGAGCTGCTGGAGCTGCGGGAGCGGGAGCTGGAGACCCCGGAGCTGGAGGCGCTGCCCCTGGGGGTGCTGGTGCTGTTGGTCCTGGTTTTGGAGGCACTGTGCGGCCGCGACCGTACTTCGTTCCACTACTTCAGCAAGCTCTTGGTCTCCCTTCCCCTACTGGCCTTACTCCTCCCTTACTGTGTCCACCGCCTGACCAGTCGCAGCCGCAGTTACAGCCAGCCTCCCCACTGCCTGCTCCTGCTCCTTACACAGAGCAGACCGGAGGTCTTACAGAGCGTCGTGAGCCTGCGTCTCGCCCTGCCTCGCCTGTTCGCGCTGGTCGAGCTGGTAGTCGTGTTCCGCGTCCGCGTCCTCCTCCTGTCCCTGGTACGCACCGTATGGCACTTCGTCCTTCCTCTGTTCCACTGCGAGTTCCCCTGCCGTCTCCTCCTGCGTCCTTTGCTGACGGACCAGACCCTGAGTCTGACTTACTTCGTGTTGCTAGTCCTACTGTCACACGTCTTCTGGCCTCTGTTGTCAGTGACCCTTCGTTTGAGTCCACTGCTACGTCTACCTTAGTTGTTGAGCTTGTTGACTTTGCTGCAGCCTGTCGTCTCGACTACGCCGCTAGTCTTGTTGCTGAGTCTGAGCCTGTCTGTCCTCCGTCCGTCGGGGGTGAGTGTGCTCATGGCACGGACGTCCTTGAGGACAGACAGGAGGACTTTGAGTGTTTTGCGGCTGCTGTACCTCATCTCGTGTCCATGCTGATTGCACCTGAGGGAGGCCCGGATGCTCCAAACATCCCAACCCCACGCTCTTACGCAGAGGCGATTTCGGGTCCCTACTCCTCTCAGTGGCAGACAGCCATGGACGCAGAGATGGCATCCTGGAAGTCCACAAGCACTTACTTCGACGCAGTTCCCCCTCCTGGGACGAACATAGTCGACGTCATGTGGATTTTCAGGGTGAAGCGGCCGCTGGGTTCTCCGCCTGCCTTCAAGGCTCGTTACGTGGCACGAGGCTTCAGTCAGCGACAGGGAGTTGGATTCATCCAGACCTTCTCCCCTACCCCAAATATGACCATTCTTCGGGTACTGCTGTACGTCGCTACTCAGCGTGACTACGAGCTTCACTCTCTTGACTTCAGCACAGCTTTCTTATAGGGCAGCCTGCATGAGGAGATCTGGCTGCACCGCCCACCTGGCTTCACTGGGTCGACACTTGCAACTCTTGGGTTTGCTCCTTTGACTGCTGACCCGTCGCTGTTTCTACGCACCGACACTTCGCTGTCGCCGTTCTACATCCTCGTGTACATCGACGACTTGGCCTTTGCCACTGCTGACACTGAGGGACTGGCCCTAGTGAAGTCGGAGCTGCAGAAGAGACACACGTGCATAGACCTGGGTGAGCTGCGCAGCTATCTTGGCTTGCAGATCACCCGGGACAGAGCACGGCACACCATTACCTTGCCTCAGTCACACATGGTGCAGCAGGTCCTTCGGCGCTTCGACTTCCAGTACTCCTCGCCGCAATCCACTCCTCTGCCTACCGGTCACTCGCTCTCAGCTCCACCTTCGGACGAGTCCGTAGAGCCGAGTGGCCCCTATCCAGAGCTTGTGGGCTGCCTCATGTACCTGATGACCTGCACTCGACCTGACCTAGCCTACCCTCTTAGCATCTTGGCATGCTACGTTGCGCCCGAGAGACACCGACCAGAGCACTGGAAGGCCGCTAAGAGGGTGTTGCGCTACTTGTGCAGTACGTCGGGCATGGGGCTCGTGCTTGGAGGACGGGGTCGAGTTGTCCTAACTGGACACGCAGACGCTTCTTGGGTTGACGATTTGGCTACGCAGCGGTCGTCACAGGGTTACACTTTCAGCCTTGGCTCCAGCTCTGTTTCTTGGCGGTCTACCCGCTCGTCTTCTGTTTTCAGTTTCAGTTGTGAGGATGAGATCTACGCATGGGCCATGGCTGCACAGGAGTTACGCTGGCTCACCTACCTGCTGACCGACTTGGGAGAGCCGGCTCGTTCTCCTCCAGTTCTTTACGTCGACAGCAAGGCCTTGATTGCCTTGTGTCCCCTTGTGTCAGGAGCACAGACTGGAGCACTGGACGAAGCATATCGCTCTGTGTTACTTCCTTGCTCGAGAGTTGCAGCAGCGTGGTCAGCTTCGTCTTGCTTACGTGGCCTCTCGGGCCAACACTGCTGATATCTTCACCAAGGCACTTCAGCCTTGTGATCATCAGCGTTTCTGTACTGTTTTAGGCCTTGTACCCACTTGGCCTCACTTGCTCACTTCTTGACTTTGCTTGTATTGTGATCTATATACATATACCTGCATGCTTGCACTTGCTAGGTTTTGATCAATGTACTGCTTGTTCTCTATTAGATAACTCTGCATGTGAACTGGCCTTGTGGCCATTTGCTTGTGCTCAGAGTGTGTGGTGACTTCGTGATCCACCCTGATCTTGCTTTGTTTTGTCGTTTCTCTTGACTGGACTTTTGACCATTGCTTTCTCTGGCTATCCCCCATTTCGCCTATGGGGGTGTGCCAAAACATATATGCTTATGTGTTAGGCTATATGGGTGTTAGCACTAGGGGGTACAAAATTTCTCTCGATGTTCTTCTTGTACCCCTCCCCCTTGACCTAATCACCACCTATTCTCCGTAGATCTTCGACGTAGGTGACGATGAGGATGGATTTGAAACGAGATTTCTTCCGGTGCATCTCTTGGTCGTGCGGCAGCTGAACGAATCCTAGCTCTGTGAGGACGATGTGTAGGTATTGCTGCAAGAGGCGAGGCGCTTGCTTGATCCCGTAAATGGATTTCTTGAGAAGGCAGACGGCGCCATTGCTTTCTTCGAAGGCGTACGGTTGCTCGACGAAGATAATGGCGTCGACAGGTGCGTACAGGAATGTGCTCCCGACATCAATCTATCGGAGCGGACGCTGATTCACGGCTGCAATGCAGATGAGAATGCGGACTGAGGTGTGCCTTCCGACGGGCGAGAAGATCAGATCGTAATCCACCATGTGAGTTTGTTCGAAGCCGCACACCACCCATCTCGCTTTGTACTTGTCGATTGAGCCATCCGCAAACGTTTTGATTCGGAAAACCCATTTGCCGCTGAGAATCTTTCTCCCCTTCGCAGATTATCGGAGAACGAGCTTCCAAGTCCCGCGTCTCTTCAGTGCTGCTAATTCTGTTGCCATGGCTGCCTTCCATTTCTTGC